GAGCGAACGGCTGTGTGGTGTTTAGCTGCCTGCCGGGTTAAACCACAACAAATTGCTTAGCATTAACCATCAGGAACAAATTATTTTTGATCCAAAGAAAGCATGGAAGTATTCAGAAGCAACTGCTAGCGTTAAATTCACACTCTTCCCTCAATCTGCTTTCAGTGTTAAAGGCTACAATTTCCTGGCTGAGGAAGCACCTCCAAGAGAGAGGCTGACAGGAGTGATACCATTTACAACACCCATCAGAAGCACAACTAGAGCTGTGTAAAAACAGGCCAGCTAAAGATTTGCCCCTAAAGTTTTGTAGCTTCATGAAATCGCCATACAAGACTCATAGCGAAAGACACATGCAAGCAAGCACAAACATGTAGTGTTTTGGTTGAACAAGAAGCCAGTGAGACAAAAAGATCCACTATTGCTCCCTACAGTATGAGCAGGAAATATGAAATGTGGCACTGCACGATAGGATTTTGTGAAGGTTAGTTCAAAGGTGGGTGTGGAAGGAGAGAAAAGGAAGGCAAGCAGAAGAGAAAGGAATGGTCCCTGGAAAAAAAAAAAAGGGGAAGAGAGAAATATTTAAAACTCCAGAAGAGCAAGTCAAAACTGTGCTGTTTATCTTTTTCCTTTGAAAAACAGTCTTGGATTATTTATTTTTTTTAAATTTCAAATAGGTAACATTTCCTTGATATTTTAACATTGGTTTGTACTTAGGCCTTGTAATTACTAGACTGAATGGAAAATACTTAAAAGGCCTGATCTAGCATTGGTAGCACAAAACTTTTACTCAGGTTACCTCCCATTACTCAAATGAGACATAAACTGAGAAAAAATGTTCCTGCTAGAACCCAAAGATGACCAGCAGCAGAATAACTTTACCTAAATAGCTCCAGAGTACATCAGCTTCAGCCTGCCCTTCCAATAAATTCAAAACAGCTCTGACTTTGAGGCTGCCTATTGCCCAGACTTCTAAAGACCACTGCCATGTACCAATTGACTGAGAATTGCACTACACCATATCAAACAAGGGCCCAGAATGAACACAGTTCTGAGCATCTTTGGGATTAATCAGATCAGACTGAAAACTTACCACAGTGTTCTTCCTAAACAACATTTTTTTAAGTTCAACTGCAATTAAAGTTTCTTCAGCTGAAGAAATTACTATGCTGTTGCATTTGGCCTCAATGATTCATACCTGAGCTCCAAACATCTGTACATCTCTCAAGTGAAACATTTCTCTGTGCAGATTTAAAAAGGTTCTTCTCTGCCTTAAACAAGTGGTATCCATCCTTCAACTCCTAGTCTTTTTATCTATGAACACTGAATTACGTTAATATAGAATTTCAGCACTGAAGCCTGGATGGATGTAAACATCCATTACCACACATTTTTGATTACATAGTTTTCTCTCTCATACAAATACTCTTAGTGTTAAAGGAAACAGGCAGCAATACCTAGTCTGAAGGCTCTTGAAAATCAGGAGAGTTTTTATTAGCATGGTGTGAAAACCGTTTTACAGTATCATCACTGGGAATCCATATTATGGTGTTGGTGTGAAAACCGTTTTACAGTATCATCACTGGGAATCCATTAAAAAACCTGTCTCATATAATCAAGGAAGAGAGAGAGATTAAAAATAAAGTGATATGAAACATCTGCTGCAGCGTATAATCAAGGAAGAGAGAGAGATTAAAAATAAAGTGATATGAAACAATTCTGCTGCAGCATTTCCAGCACTTTCACTTGCACATGTTCCATCAGTAAAATAACAGAAATATTGCTTGACCTACCCTTTACTCTGATCCTCTGCTTACTGACAGTAACAATAAAGTTGGTACCCCACAAACTACTGCTATTGCATTTTGTTTAGAGAATGACAATGGAGACAGGGAGGGGAAAAAACATTCATTCTCTTTACTGAGCAAAAAATTCTCTTTTATCCTATTCCTGTGGATGCAGCACTGTGCATTCTATATAAAGGACTGCTGACTCCTCCTGCACACTGAGGTCTCACAGCTAAACCCTGGCAAAAATGGCAAAGGTAAGAACAGCTGAGTGAATGGAGCACTGACAAACAGCCTAGCACATGCATAGCTCCTTGCAGGCAAGTATGTTTGCAAACATAGTTTGTTGAACTACCAACAAATTAGCAGAGAGGAAACCTCGAGTGGTTGTTTTATTATCTAGCTCTTTGGTAAGTTTCCTAAAGAAAGCCTATAGTGTACTTGGAAGCTTTCAAATGCTAAAACATTTACACATAAAAACCTTTTGTTTTTATTTTCTGTCTGGCTAGTTTCCCTTTGTCAGCTGCTGAAAGAGACCTAAAGTTTATATATTCTTAGACTTCTAAGATGTACAGGAAAATAAGGTTGAAGTACTCTATTCCAAACAAATGTAATAAATATCACCAAAGCCACTGAATTTAAGTCTCTCTAACTTGATTTTACTGCTGCTAAGATATAGCTGCCCAACAGGACCTAGAGCGGTCAATGATTAACTCAGGTTAGACACAACAGTCTTGTTTTGTTCCTGTATCATTACAAGAGGTGAAAGCTTCAGCACAATTCAGATGTAGGAGAATTATTCCTTCCTTTGTCTGTATTCTACACTGCAGAAGATTTCTAGCCTGGGACTGGGTGCAGGAGATGGGCACAAAGTTGAATGATTGTGTGATACACAAGTTGTCCATGGAGCTTTCAGTCAAAGAGCGATTTGGGTTTCACTTTCTCCAAACGCTCCCAAAAAACTTGTCAGGAAGCTGCTGACAGGCTATTTCCAGCATGAAATCATGACAAAAGTCGCCCCCCACTTCCCAGAGTCCGAAAGGGACATCCACCTGTCATTTGTTGTACTAGAGAAATGAAGACAGCAGTAACTGTGCATCCTATAGAAAATGGACATAAGGGCTTTGCTAGTCTTTGGGCCTGGTAGAAGTGTCCCTATGGACCCTTGCAGTCTTTGGATTGTTTTGTACAACCTAGTCAAAACAAAGCCAGCTTTCAAAGACTTTCCAGTGTGACTGGGGTTACTTTTGTTTTATTGCAGATCACTTTCTTTGAGGACAGATACTTTGAGGGCTGCTCCTGTGAAGCCACCACAGACCAGCCAGACCTGCGTGCCCACCTCAACCGCTGCAACTCTGTTAAGGTGGAAACTGTCTGCTGGATGATCTGTGAACATCCCAACTACGTAGGCCATCAGTACTTCCTGAGGAAGGGAAAATATCCCGACTACCAGCACTGGATGGGCTTCAATGACTCCATTAGTTCTTATTGTATCATCACAGCAGTAAGTTTTCCATATTGCCTCCGTGTATGTTACTGCCTATATTAGAGCACTACACCCTATTTTGACAGTTCTGGCACAAGTAACAACTTCCACAGAGACCTCTATGTAGAAGAAGGGTAGTAGAAAGGACATTTACCAAGTTCACCTAATGGGGTTTAGACTCCCAAAGAGGTAGATAAGTCAATTGGGATTCTCAGCCAAACGAACGGTTGGTTAGTGCTGGGGCGGGGGGCGGAGAGTTTATTATATTAATTTTTATTTTACTAGTATGTTTATCTATTATTTTATATATATAAAAGCACTTAACGTCACCAATCTTCTAAAACCACTCTGGCTATACATGATCTACACAAGGAAGTTCAGTACAGAGCTGAGAACCAAACCACATCTCCCATGCCCCAGTCAATGCTCTTCTTTCAAGGTAGGCAAAGCTGGCAACTGCACTACTACAGAGGCAACCTGACACATCCCATTGTAGAGTCACCACCATGTGTTTGAGCTGCAAATGAAGGCATATTTGCCTCATGATAGATTTTTTCCTGAATACTTCGGCCCAGAACAGATCTGTGTTTTTCCCTCCTAGACTCATTCCCTGGAAGAGTTTTACTAAGAGGGGAGAGGTTGCCAAGATGTGAAAGATTTTAATACTCACACACAAGGCTAAGGATTTGAGATTTGTCCCAGGAATAGCCTTGATGCTGGACCGTGTCCCTCCAACGTTCATGAAAAATTAAGTTCATCCATGTTGTAAGCTTTATGTACAATTCACAGTTTCCCTGTCCAGTAGAAGCTTCATAGACCATCACAGCAAGTTTCCAGGTACATTCCATCTGCATAGGATAATGCAGATATTTTTTTCACTGACATGCAGTTCTGGGCTTCACTTAGCTAAGCCAAGTTCTGGGTCCAAGTGCTGAAAGCTAGTGCAGACACTCTTGTGTCCTTTCAAGCTGTACAGGAAAGAAGTCACGGATGAGGAGGGTGGGAACAAGATGGACTGAAGGGAAGTTGACTTGGGAGACTGATGGGAAGTATCTGAGAAGGAGCAGAGAAACTGAGAATTAGTATGGGGGTAGAAAAAAAACCCTAAAGTTAGGACACATTTCTCCATGCTTTCCAGATTCAGAACAAGAGTGTCCAGAAAGTTTGATTCCACAAATGTAGTGAAGGGAAGTTGACTTGGGAGACTGATGGGAAGTATCTGGCAGAGAGCAGAGAAACTGAGAATTAGTATGGGGGTAGAAAAAAAATTTAGGAAACATTTCTCCATGCTTTCCAGATTCAGAACAAGAGTGTCCAGAAAGTTTGATTCCACAAATGTAGATACTAAAGTGTTGTTGGGTTTGGTTGTTTTTTTTTTTTTTTTTAACTGAGTAAGGTGTTGGTCTTTGCACAGCAGCAGTACTCGTGTCTATACAACTGCACTTGAGCACCTGCAAAAACTGTATTGAGCACTGATGCAAGAGCAGAAAGTATTTTTCTGTATCAAATCTTTGCTGTGCTATATTCAGGAGTCAGAGACAGTCTTGAAACAGTTTATTGTAAGTTGTCCACACTTCTGAGGACAGCAGTACCTCCTGAGGCCTGGCGAGTACAGGCGATTCACCAACTGGGGTGCCATGACTGCCAAAGTTAAATCCTTCCAACCAACAGTGGATATTTCCTAACCAGCACTTTCCTAAGCTATACGTGAGTGAGTAGTGCCATTGGCACTTTATTAAGGCCAAGGAGTTTCAGAGTTTACATGAGTTAGGTTCCCTTTTCTTGCAATGCTTTTAGCCTTTGATTTAAAGCCCAGCAGAGTCAGAAACTGTCTTGACTACAGTGGGCTTCAGAGCCTGTGCTTGCTTTACTGGTAGGAAAAATTCCCCTGAAGTCAGTGGAGATGGGCTGGTAATGAGTAACACCCAAGCTCAGAGGAAACCTGTATCTAAATTACCAAGCTGAATTATCTGCAGTCTCAGATCAATTTAAAAATAGCATCTTTGAAGAAAAATATTATTTCAGACCTTAGAGGGAAAAAAATGAAATACATTCATTTATGATCATGAAAATCAAAAAATCCACCTGTAACTGAGCCCATGGGACCAACTCTCTCCTTGAATTCATTATAGGGTGTACCTTACATCTTGAATGGTCCTTCTCAGAAGTAGTTCTCCTGTGACTAGAGTGGCAAGTTTACAGCCACAGTGTCATCATGGAGGTACTGCATACCAAACCTGCAGCTGTGACACTAGATAACTTAAGACAGAGCAAAGCATTTACAGTATTTGGCATCTTTATTAAGTTATTCCTGTCAATGACAATTTGTAATGCTACAGATATCAAAATAACTCTTTCAGTTGCTTATTCACTTCACAATGAAAAAAACAGTCCTGGTGCCCAATGGCTCCTGCTGCCACTTGGCATTAAGTCTGAAGTTCTGCATAGGACTGCATTGCTCCTATTTCCAGTTTAGGGCCTGCACTATGCTCTTTTGTTTAGCCAGGACCTCACACTGTAGACATGAACTCATGTTGACGCTCTGTAGCACAGAAAAGTAGCAACTTTCCCTGGGGTCTGGGAGTAAAAACCAGAAGAGAGACACTTTATGTTAAGGAGTCTACAACCCATTCAGTGTGCAAGCGGGGCCCCACAAGTCTCACACCTACTGTAACAGCGCACTGTTTACACAACACTGCGGGATCTTTAAAACTCTGCTTTCTAGTTTTACAACACTAGCCATCATTCAGGTCTCTATGCCCTTTCTGTGTCAGGAATTAGGCTAGCAGAGTCCCTGGAGGATTCACAAGGTAACAGGGAAGGGCACAGCCTTGGTTTCACATCCCACTCAGAAGCAGGCACTGTGCTGCAACCAACATCTAACTTCTGGGAGGCTACAGTGCTAACACTTTTCAAGAATCCCACCTCTAGCAGCAGTTGGAGCTTTCCTAAGCCCATTTCCCTTTAGTTACTTTCCTTCATTTGCACCCTTCCCCAAACCAAGAGGAGTTAACCTGCCAAAACTGACAGAGTGCTCACAGTCCCCAAGTTGCTATAGCAGGCATTCTTGGGACAACCTTACCCTGTCAGCTGAGAGAGAATTAAGTTCAGCTAGATCCCCGTACCAACACCTACACATCCTTAAACCTTGGCTGCTGCCATGTTGTTTTTTCCTGACACACTGATTGCTTTCAGGAGCCATGCTGCAGATCCAGATCTGCTAAGCACTGCAACATAATGACATAATTCATTAAACAACTTAACTAAAGCAGAATTGTTTGAAGTGCAAGTATGGTAACTTCACTTATCACTGGCAATAAGATGGTGGACAGTAAGGGATGGTTTACTTTGAGTGAAAAGACAGTTTTGATGGAGGAAGGAGAACACTTCTACACTGCAATCCTGTGCAGTAACAACTGGTGTCTTAGAGCATCTGCAAAATAAAGACACATGAAGCATGAGTCTACACATGCTAGCTCTAGCATAGCTAACCTACATGACAGCAGAGGAGACTGGCAGTTCTAAGCCTGAACACCCATCCATGAATCTTCATTGGCTACTAGAGCTGGTAAGAACCTAGGCAGACCAAAGCATATAAATACATATTTAGTCTGGAAGAGTCTTTAAGATGTACCTGACAGAAGAACACTTCTAGCACAGCTGCAAACTTAAGGCCTCCGTTAAGGGAGCCTATGCTACAGAAAAGGAGCACAAGAGAGCAAGTCACTGCCTGGGCCTTTTACAGCAGGGGATTCATTACATTGAAGGCCCCCTGTGGAAACAAGCTGAAAGGACAGAGAAGGGTAAAAACACTCACCATGGTGCCAGGCTACCCTGGGGTAAATTTCTTCCTGAATTTAAGTCTGGTGAATGGTTTAACCCTGAATATACGAAAGCAGAGCAGCCAGGGACCAGAGGGACTTAATACTATTAGCCAGACCATCACCCCCCAGCTTTAGCTGTGGCCAGTCTCCAGCACTTTGAAAGAAAGCAACTAAAATCCCTAGATACCAGCTTATGTGTCAAGGGGCAAACAAATCCTTCCCATTTCCAAATTTTGCAAACAACTAACAAGCCCTGAACTACCTGGGGTACAATGTGAATATGGTGACAGAAGGAAGATTAAACACTAATTAAGTTTGCTGGGTTACCTAATAGAACAATTGCATGCTCATTTTGTGCAATCATCACCAGAGAAACTCAAGGCAAGCTGATCCTATGCTACCCGCAGCAAAAGACCATCTCAGAGGCCTTGGCATCTTGCAAGGGCCAGCTTGCTCCTTTCCAATAGCCACACCAAATGCAGTCTCAGGTTAATCTGGCTTGAATGCCTAGAAACTAGCATCCACAAAGTCCTATTTATTCACATACAGCAAAAGTTATTTTGATAGTGGGAGTTTTACACCCAGCTGTCAAGGCCACTTGCTTACTTAGAATGTAAAGATTACTCCTTGCTTCTGTGCAAGGGTCTGTTTGTAAAGGACAACGCAAGAGTTGAGAGGCGGGTGCATTTTAAGCATATTTCAGGTCTTCATTGTTAGTAAACAAAGCATTAGCCCTAAGACATCAAGCAAAACCTCAGATAAAAGCTTTGCCATAGATCTATCTCAGCATGATTTTTGCTGGCCTGGGGCATGATCTTAGTAGAAGCCTTAGAGCCAAACAACAGGTTTGAGAATATCTGAAAGTCAGATACAGATTTTTGTCTTTTTCATTTGCTTCTACAGAAAATAAGTATAGCTTAACAAAAGCATTACTATGAGGTGTGTGGTTTTTCCTGCCACTTCAGAGGTCCCTGGACTCAAAGCTGCAATCCAATGCAGCCCATTCCTTTGTCAAATCTTTCCTTAACCTCAAATTCATGCCTTCTCCCTATCCACACCCTTCTCTCTACCCATTCTGTTACTTGAACTTGCTGACTGACAAGTTCAGTCCATGGTAAGATAACTGAATTATTAATATACAGCTACCGAAGAGAGATAAAGTACAAAACCACAAGTAATGAACAAAGTATGAGAAACAACCACTGTTGTAAACAGACAGTTACCACAAGACAGAAGCTAAGGGACAATGAACTACAAACAAACACTGCCTACCTGGCTATTTAAGGTCCATGAAACAATTGATACATAATTATGGAAGAGAAGGTAATGAAAAGTATAACAATTAGCTTTCACAGTTGGACCAATCCATAAACATATTTTAAAGTACCCATACATAGCTAGTAATGCTTCTTTTTACATCTTCCTCCATTCTTCGACTTCCATATCCTTAGCTGAGTCTTTATGAAGGTAAGCACACTAAAATATAAATTCATCTAGAATTATATGACACCTGTGATGACAAAGCTGTAGCCCACCTTTGTCCACTGACCTCTCTCATTATTGCTCATATTTCCACGTGAAAAAGAACTTATAGTGAATACTGAATGTCTGTCTGTACCAACAGGGAGAGACTAAACTTGACTCACACCCAGTGATGCAGACCTCTAAAAAGCCACCTTAACAACTTTACGGTGAGCTAGCTGGCTTAGAAAAACCTCTAGAAGGTCAGACCAGGAGACCACTCACCCTGTATGCCACTGGAACAGACTGTCCTGTTGCAAAACACAAATGCTTTACTTTCCCTTCAGAGCACCTATATAAGGCAAGAACAGCCTACACAAGCAGCAGTGATCACCTAGGCCCACTAGGATAACTACATCACTACAACTCCAACATAGTGGAGAATGGCTGCTTTATAGTCTGCCAGCGTCCTAATTACGTGCGCGGCAGCACTTAACAAGGGAGGAGTCTCCCATTTCTATCAGAGGATGGGTTTTTTTTGTTGCTTCACTGGAGCCTGTTGCAGGACTTCTGTATGTGGGAGCAGCTCCTGTCACCTGCAGAAGTCAGTAATGCAAGAAAGCAGAGCAGTATCTCAAGGGAGGATTGGGGTTTGTACATGGCTTTGCTTGGGCCTGACTTCTTTGAAGGGAGCAAGTTGTTAAGAAAAGTTGGAAATAGGCTGTTGTTTAGCCTAGAAAAGGCTGTAAGAAGATGCGATAAAAACTTGTAACTCAAAAAGCATGCTACAAAAAGCTTCCTTTTCCCATATGTGTGGGAGGGACAAATAGCAATTGTTTGCATTTACTTCAAAGGTGATGGAGGTTGGCTGTTAGGGAGGAGCTCCTAGCAGCAACTCAAGCCCTGAGATAAGTCCCTCAGGGAAGAGGCAGAATCTCTTCCGTTCCTGGAGGCTGTTCACAGAAAGGGATCTGGGGCGATTTAAGCATAGCAGATCCTGCCCTGGGGACAAAGCTTGACTCTCAGCTCTTGTTTTTTTCTTAACGGAAAAAATTATGTTGCAACCTCAAGGCGGGAGACTATCGTGGCTAGCAGCAAGTACCAGAGCACGTGTATGACATGACTAAAAATAATTTTACAGACTCATTTTTGTCAGTGTCCCTCCATCCGTGCTAGGAACTATGTTTAGATATTGCAGTAAAAGATACTTCTCCCATTCCCGCACTGCTGATCCACATGATACAACACCGAGCAGAGATTAGCCCTTAAATTTCTCCAGAGAAACTTCACTGATCTTTTAAAAGCAAGACAAATATGCAAAGGCATGTTGCAGGGACTGATCTCGGACTGTCTCTGGGCCCTTGGTGACACATCCATCCCTAGCAATTTTTTATACAGCAAACAATATAATGATATTGCACAGTCAATTCCTTTGCAAAGGATTTCCAAACCTCGCATGAAACCATTGCAGCGGTGTGGAAATCCCCTGCAAAGGAATTGACTGTGCAATGAATGGCGATGAATGCTTTATCATGTGAATTTGTATGAGATTTACCCAGGTGAGGAGACAACCCAGCAGCAGAAGGACCAGGGCTGCAGCTGGAGGTTGCAGGGCTGTGATTCTCCCAGCAACCTGGGGAGAAGGCCCAGGTCTCCTTAAATCTCCTTCTCCCCACTTTGGAGCCTGACACAACATTAATTTCCAGCCCCACTTTCCAAGGGAGCAGACGGACACGGAGGGAAGCCCGTGCTCCGGGGAGTGCCCTGCGAATCACGCTAAAAGGATCACGTCATTGAATGAGCAGGAGGAAAGTCCTTTGCTGGAGTGCTCTGCTTCGGGAGGGTCAGCGTGAGCTACTGGTATGCTTGGAAAGAGCCACACCAGTAAGCTGAGGAATGTCTTTTCACATTTCTCCTTTAGAAATCTAACTTATTTTAGGAGCATTTTTAGTCCTACGCAAGCTCTGCATGCGAGGTATGGGCTGCTTTAAAGCGGTAGCAGACTGTATGTATGTATATATCCGTGCTCCTCAGGCAATGCAGGCAGGCCTCTCTGGAGCATGTGTAAAATACATGTATGTGCTTGATAACCTTTATCACTTGTAAAACAGTATAGAGGTTTCCTGAGGTGCTCTGTCCCACAAGGATCGGGAATGCCGATCCTTTTACGGGCAGACTCCTCGTGCGGCAGAAGGCCGCGCTGCCTGACAGGGACCGGCTGCTCCTCAGGTGACGCGCCGTGGGCTGCGGCACGGCTCTGCCGCTCGGGCTGT